GCAGCGCTCGGCAGCCGCGCCGGGGCAAAGTCAGCCCTCGGGTGCGGGAGCATCCATGGGGAAAGCGCCGTGCCCTGGTGCAGCCAAAGGGACGCGACTTGGGGCAGGGAGAGACACTTTTAGCAGGGATGCGGGGAGGCCACGAGGCAGGGGGTGACCAGGGGACCCCACGGAGACACGAGCTCGCTCTCCGCCTGAGAGCTGCTGCGGGATCTCCTTGGGGCCGGGTTTGCCCACCCTCGCAAAGCGCAGCAGCAGCGAAGGCTTCGCTCCAGCACCGTCCCTCCCAGACCCCGAAGTCGTCCCCCACGTCAGGTGATCCGTGCAAGGGGGGCGCAGCATAGGCACCAGGCAGGTTGGGGTCAGGGTGGCTGGATGGGCACAGGAACAGCCGCCCACAGAGCTGGAAGCGATGGAGCAGCCACGGTGGCCAGCTGCATGGTGAGTCACAGCGTGACTCAAGAGCTCACCCCCTGCTCTGTGCCCAGGGTAAGCTGTGCTGTGCACTGGTTAATAGAATAATTGCAGATATTAATTAAAGCTATCTGCTAAATGGTCTCCCATGAGCACTGGTGGGATTGGATCCAGCCCCAGAGCTGTAGGAGGCTGAAGGTAAACCCCAGCTTTCGGTTTAAACTGCAAACCACACTATGACTGAAGGAGCCTCGTAATGCAGAGGCCCTCGGGGAGCCTGATGTGAGCCCTGAAGATCAAAATTGGCCAGCCAGGAAGGGCCAAGCGATGGAGGACCCCACCATCTTGCTGGCACAGGGCAGTGCCTGGAAGGAGGCAGCAGAGCTTTCTGGGTATTTAACATCGTTTCAGCCTCCACAAAGACTCCCTTTCCCGAGGCCCTTTGCAGGTCCCCACTGGCGAATACCAAAGCGTGCCCAGGCCAGGTGGCTCCAAGGGAAGCAGGAGCTCTGCGGGGCCCAGGATAACCCAGGCTATTCTCGGCATCCTCTCTCAAGGCTGAGTTCCTGCCCTTTTAGACAGGGTCTCTGGCAGGTTCCCAGGCTCTCACAGCATGAGCGGTCTGCAGGATCCCTCCTCCACCGGGCACTGCTGAGCCACAAATACACATGCACGCTCCGGGACAGACCGGGCAAGCAAGGCCAGCCAAATCCAGCCTCCACAGAGCTCTCCCTGCGCAAGCTCCCGAAGCAACCGAGGGAGTGCTCTTAAAAAATACACGTGCATTGCCATGGTTTTGACCCCCTCCCATCCCTCTGTTCAGGTGCTGGCTGCCACAGGACATGGGCTTCGGGGCTTTGCAGGGTCGAAGCAGAAGCAGGCACCACCCTGCGCGCTGGAGCCAGGCAGGCTGGGGGAGCTGTGTGGCCTGGCTTTGCCTGCCACTGGGATCCCAGCTCCTGTCCTTCTGCCGAGGAGCCAGACCAGCTTGATGAAATACAGAGGAGTATTTAAAGTTGGTGAGAGCATGAGAGCTCCCTAGCAACAGCCACCAGGCATCATCTCTGCAGGCTGGCGATGGAGAAAAAAGACCAGAGGAAAAACTGCAAAGGGAAAACAGGGGTGGAGAAGAGAAGATGGAGAAAGAGGAAAGATGCACAGCAATAACAGGTCGCAGTCGCTGCTGATGCTGGGACAGGGCCCAGGACAGCCAGGTGCTGCACAAAGCCACTAGCACCTCTGCCTGTGCACAGCCCTGGCTAAAGGACACAGCTGGGTTGGTCTCCTGGTGGAGAAATGAGACCCGGTTCCAGCAGAGATCAGGGATTCCTGGTCTTACCCCCCAGGAGATCATGTTATTCCTTTCCTTGACACTACGAGCACAGCCAAAGGCTCACGCTCTCCCTTGTCCTCAGTGGTACCAGGCTGAACCCCAGTGTGCTTTCCCCAAGCGCTGGACTCCTCCGTCCACTGGGGTCTCGCAGCCTCAGACAAGCCCCATAGGTGATGCTCAGGAGCAAACGTTTGCACCTAGTCCCCCCCCCCCCCAAAAAAAATAGCAGCAGCAGCAGGATGCCCCGCAATAAGCCAGCCAGGAAAGCCACATGTGGGACACGGTTTATTTTTCCATTAAAAAAATATATAACAACTTCACGGTCTCCTAACAGATATTACGGTCATCAACACCACAACGTGCAGACTAAATACCAATCTGTCACAATATTCCTGTCGTGGGGCGGGGGGACGGAGGCAGCAGGCTGGGATGGGGAGAAGAGGGAGATGCAGTTACGTTTCTTGTGCCAAGTCATCGTATCCTCGCACCCTTCCCAGGAGGCTCCACGCGTGTAGGGCCCATC